GCCCACGAACCCGGCAGTGGCGTTCGATAACCAGGCCACCACGCCAGGCGGGGACCCAACGCCGACCGCATCGGAGGCGGCCCGTCTCCTAGCCAAGTTCGCGAATGATGTCCAAAAGAAGCGGCCTACACCACTCATCAAATCGCCGCCAAAGCAGAGGCCGCCGCAAAGAAGGCACCCATTCCGACATCGGTTGCCGCGATCGCTGGCAAGAACAGTTGGGACACATACCGGTGTCCAAGAGGGGAGAAGTGATCGCCATGAAGAGGTTGGGCTTCACGCACCCGAGCGCCCAACCATCCTCTGGGCAAAGGCGCGACTACGAAGCCTTCTTCAACAGGGAAATGACGGATCAGGAGGTCGAGGCCTTGGACAACCTCTTCCAGGCAAACAAAACAGGCGCCGGCAAGACGACTCGCCGGACGCTCGCCGCGGTGGCCTAAACTTAGGCCCCACAACAACCGGTTGTCCTGCTGCTATGGATAACACAACTGTATTGTCATGGAATGTGCGCGGCCTTAACGCGCGAGCAAGGCGGGATGCAGTACGTACGCTGATTGATGACATAAGGCCATCCATAGTGGCAAGCGCTTGGGCAGCAAGTTCCACCAGTCTCCCAAACGACGCTCTCCTGGTGGCGCCGATTGCGGTCAGTGTGCACCGGCGATCGGCGAAACGGTATGGACTCCCTCTTCGCCCTCGTCTCCTGGCAACTATGGAAGGAACGGAACGCAAGATGTTTCCGGGAATCGACATCGTCCGTCGGCGACCTACTGCACATCATCAAGAACGAAGTTTAACCGATGGATTCAGGCCGAGCAAGCGGGCTACGTCGCGCTATCGCAGGGCTAGGTCCTTGTCAGGATAGACATGGATTACGGTGGTTGTTTTTTTCCATAATGTAGCGTCCGCAGGAAACTAACTAACGGCCGGGAATGAAACTTTTGTACTATAAACTCTTTCTTCTAATACAATGATATGCACACTCGTGCGTATTTGAGAAAAACACGTAGGCCGAGCGAACTGAATAAAGGCCGTGCTGCTCCCCGGACCAGGCCCAAAAATCTCCTTGCGGGCGCCCCAGCGGGATCCTTCTCACCGCTTGGACATCAATCGGCAACAGATTGTCATGGAGCGCTTGAACGTTCCAGCTACTCCCATCCTCGGACAGGAGCTCACTAACTCGCGTTGCCAAGGCACCCGGCTTAGGACAAATTGGTTTGCCACCAATGGCGCCCGGTATCCAGCGATCTCTCCAAATGTTTGTGGTCTCCCCATCCCCAATCCTTCTTATATGAGGCCACACTCCAGAGCCTTGCGTCCTGCCAGGATTGCTCTCCAAGTGTGAGAGGAATTCCTCTTGTTTTTTGCTGTCACAAATTCTTCGTTAGGGAAATATTTCCCTTCCAGAACTCTAGCACACACTATGTGCCGGGATCGTTTAGCACGTGCATGTGCTTTAGTTTCCAGCAATAGTAGAACATTGTATGTATACTACGTAAATATCACATGTATACTACATGAACATCAGATATATCTCATAAAATTTAGAAAAATGAAAATGAACTACTTAATTAAAGTAAAATAACGAAGACAAAAAAAAAAAAAAATCTAGAGAAAAAATAAAAATAACATCACATGATAGTATTTGAACAAACTAATATATAATACAGAACATATCATCGGTACTAGTGAATACTCAAAGACAATAGAACATCCCAAAATACATCATAAAATAATATCACATATATACTACATGAATATCACAAAATATATCATAGAACATCATACATATATTACATGAACATCATATATATCTCATTGAATATAGAAATTTTAAAAGTAAAAAATAAAAATAAAAATTTAACTACTTAATTAGAGGAAAATAATAAAGAAGAAAAAATAGAAAAACTAGAAACATTACATGATACTATTTTAACAACCTAAAATATACTTAGAACATATCAAAGGTATTATATGGATACTAAAAGATACTTATCCCATTATACAAACGTTCCAAAATTACATGAACATTGTACGTATCTTGGCTGAAAAATAAAAAAAATGTAAAATATGGCAAAAAAACAAGAACAAATATTAATTAGAGTATAATAAATCAGGATAAAAAGATTAAAGTAAATTAAAATAATGAAATCTAAAGAATACAGGAAAAGTAAAGAGAAGGAGAAATAGAAATAGAAAAAATCAGAAAGAAAAGAAAAAAGAAACTCATCCAGGCCTTAGACGTGAGTGATAACTATAAAAAGGTAAACATGAAAAACGTGAAACAAAGAAATAACAATTATAAAAGAAAAGGAAAATCAAAAGAAAATATAAGAAAGAAATAGAAAAACTAGGCGTGCGGACATGTATCTTAGCAAAACTAGCCGTATTGGAACGTCATAGAATAGAAGAATAAATATCAATAGAAAAGAGCCTTATAAAAAAACCACAGAAAAGAAAAAAAACAAACGAAGATAAATATAATAAGAAAAAAAGGACACGTAGAAACGCTACCCACGTTTCTGTGATTCTGTCGCTCGCTGGAGCGAGCGTCGCGCTCGCGGATTTGTTTTATATTTTTAATTCTTTTTATTAAATATTTCAATAATAATCAAGTTAATTTTTTTTTTTACCGATCTAACCCCTTAAGTCATGACAGTCCTGACAGCGTGATCAAATAACGCTATCGCGCCGCATGCGTTGGCGCGGTAGGATATGATACGTTGGACAGTGTTGTCTTGTCACGCCTGACATGGCAAGACTAAACTTTAGAAAATACATAACTCTTCGATGCGATGTTTGATGAAGATGATTTTTATATAAAAATTGTAGAGCTCGATGAGATCTACAACTTTATAGTTTTGATTTTTTTTTATTTGAGGACGTTAAGATACTCAAAAAATAATACAAAATTTCAGCAGCATAATAATCGCGTACTAGCGCTTGTCGCATTAGAAAAATAATATCTTTTTTGTATAAGGTTAAATGAAAATACTTTTTATATCAAAATTGTAGCTCTCGAAGAGATATACAACCTTATAGTTTTGAGGTTTTACATTTGAGGTTGTTAAGATGCTTGATGAAATAATATAAAATTTCAGCAACATGTTAGTCATACACCAGGTCTTCTGGCCTCATGAAAATTATATGCTTCTTGAAAGGTGTCAAATGAAGATATCTTTTATATCAAGTTGTGGCTATCGATAAAATCTATAATTTTTAGTTTTGAAGTTTTTCGTTTGAGATTTGTTACAAAGCTGAAGAGAAAATGATACAAAATTTAAGGGGCATATTAATCACTAATGAAAAACTTCAAAACGAAAAACTTAATGATTTCATATGAAAATTTCAAAACAAAAAACTTGTAGATCTCATCGAAAACTGCAACTTTAATATAAAAGGTATCTTCATTTGATACAGTTCAAGAAAAATATAATTTTCATGAGGTGAGAAGCTTTAGTGCACGAGTAACATGCTGATGAAAATTTATATTATTTTTTGAGCATCTTAATGATCTCAAATAAAAAAACTTAAAACTAGAAAATTATAGATCTCATCGAGCTCTTCAATTTTCATATAAAAATCATCTTCATCCAATGTCGTATCGAAGAGTTATGAATTTTTTCAACTTCAGTCTTGTCGCGCCACTCCCGGTGGCGTGATAAAATAATACTGTCACGCCACCCCGAGAGTGTCGTGAAAAGGTTTTCCACGTCAGAAATGCCATACAACGTGGCACATCCTACCGCGTCAAGGCATGTGGCGCGACAGCGTTATTTATTCACATCAGCGGAAGTGGCGCGACTGAAAAAAGTACCTGTAAGAATTTTTTAGACACGATTATTATTAAAATATTGAATAAAAATGGATTAAAATATAAAAATTCTTCCGCGCTCGCTGGCGCACATGACGCGTGCGTGGGCCACGCTAGCTGCAGCGTCCCAGCATAGCGCGGGATCGCTCTGGTCGGCGGACGAGTTCCGTCCGATCTGGTCGGAAGCGAAGATTCGTTGCCGCCGCCGCTACAGCCGATGCGAGTGTCCCGTCACCGCTAGAGCCACCGCTGTCGCCATGCCTCGGAAGCTCTCGTGCGTGCGTGAGGTGTCGTGGGCTTAGATGGGCCACTGGACTGGCTGCCGTGAGCGACTCGTTAGAGGATTTCGTCCTGGAACTGATGGGTCCTGCCCATCCAAGCATGCGAATGAGGTGGGAAAAAGTCCACATTGCCTCTTTTAACTTTTACAAAAATCTATTTTTTCTTCCTAAACTCTAAAACCAGGTAAACCAGCACATTAAATTTTAAAACCGTTCGTTTTACCTCACTGACCGGTTATAAGCAATTTTCAAAGGCGGTTTTGTCTTTTTTTTTATTTCGGTTGAATCTTTGAAAAATCGTAATAAATCACAAAAAATCATAAAATGAAAAATATAATTTTGTTGGACTCCACATGAGTAGATCTACATAATGATCATATAATATGGTACGTTTTAGGGAAAAAATAGTTTTAGATCTATGTTTTTCTATAATTAATTCACGGATCTAAGTTACAGCAAAAAAATTGTATGCCACTAAAGCATACAATATTATATGTTTATTGTGTAGATCTAATCATGTGGAGTCCAAAAAAATTAGATTTTTTATTTTTATTTTATATTTTTATGATTTATTATGATAAATTTTCAAAAAGATTAACCGGTCGGGATTGAAATAAATAAAAAAAAAAATACAAAACTTCATGCAAAAATTTAAAAACTGACTTAGGTAACCAGCCTAACCCAGAGCGGGAGAAAATAAAATAAACGCCCGCAGCCAGTGCCTTCTTTTAAAAGTTTAAGAGGTGGTTTATCCGGTTTTAGGAAAAAACAAACTTTCGTAAAAATTGAAGGAGGTAACGTGGACTTTTTCCAACGAGGTGCCCTGCTGAGGCTTATCCAATCAATATGCTGCAGCTAACCCACTGAGCGGCCGAGTTGAGCGAGCTCCCTGCTCAGCTCCAATGGCCACCGCCACGGCCGCCGCAGCCAGTGCCTTCTCCCACGGGTGGAGCCGGAGGTGTCCCCCACGCTCGCGCTCGCGGGCCACCGTCCCACGCTGTGGTCTCCTAGCTGGTACGCGTGCTCCTCTCTCTAACAAGAACTTGTTGGGTGCGTCTCGAGCTAGGCAGAAATCGCCGGACTATTCCATTGTTGACTTGTTGCTCAATTCTGATTCCGCCGTCCTCTTGCTCTGCTGCCTTCTGCATGTTTGCACAACTGGACACGGTTAGGTGGTTGTTCTTCGTCATGCATGCGAGGGAATTTTGTAGCTACGACTCCAAGAATTTAGTGGCGCATGCAGACTCCACATGTGTGTGATATCGTGGCAAGAGGCTAGCTGCTGCTTGGCGCAGTTCTTGGTTTTGGTTGCAAGCGCATCTTGTCAATGGTTTGCTCGGAATTTAGCCTTCTAGAGCTGAGGACGGCCACTAGGTTTACCTTACCTCACCTTTCACTCAATGAGTTCTCGTCAATGTGTGTGAATGTGTGGAATATTAGCAGAAAAAAAAGGCACTCTCAAAGTCTGAAATGCAACCTCACTTGACCGGCTGGACTTGTAGTCCAGTGTAGGATCCACGTACGTCAGATTTTCAAAAATATTGATTGATGGGGAACATTTCTTGTGCACGTTTAAAGACGCGCAGGTTCGATAGGGTCCTTACTTAGTCGCTCCTCTGGTCATTGTCTTGTTATTTCCAAGGCCACGGCTAACATTGACAGTGTAGCCAATACAAGTCTTGCTTGTTGTATTCCCCCCAAAAAAAAAAATCTTGCTTGTTGATGTTGATCCCCCAGTTCCCAGCTCCCATTCAACTCTCCCACATTTGATTAAAAATCGCTGCAATTGACAATGACTGACACTATACTATGTTGTGGACTCCTGGTTTTAAATAGCGGGCTATAGCGCCGCTATAGCTGCTGGAGAGAGACCACGCTAAGCTATTGCCACTTTTGCCGCTATGTCAACTACGACCGTTATATTGCGCATAGCGCCGCTAAATTGCTTAGCTGTAGCTTTGAAATAGCGCCGCTATTTCAATTTCAGCTATAATAGTGACAATCTAATTATTACCTACTTATATTTTGTTTTAAAGTTGGTATTTAGCAAAATTGAACGCTTGAGTTTCATGAATCATGCTCTAATATCATATTAAGTATTGTTTCCTACATCCCTAGATCCTTGAAAAGATATCTGGCATAGCTCCGCTATAGCGGCGCTATAGTTGTATAGCCTCTGGAAAAAAGATGCCGCTATTTGCTATAGGCCGCTATTTAAAACTATGTGTGGACTGCTAAGGATAGGTTTAGCAGAACTATGATGAGCTGTGACTCGCCCCAGGTCATGCAATTTAGTCAAAATGGAAAGACTACAATATAGGTTGCTAGAGTGCCACATATCATCATGACATCGTTGTGTTTGTCAAACAAGGAGCCAACAAGTTTGAAGTACACGGCACAAGAGCTAGGCTCCAAGAGTAACTAGATGTCCTGTCATAATTTCTGTTTTGTCATGTTTACCCTAGTGTTGAATATTCTGTACAGTCCAGTTGAAGTATTCAAACACTTGAATTTAGTTAGCTAACAGTTTTGGTTAGGTTAGAACATAGAGTTTGATCCATGTGGAACTTGTTCTGAATTGTTGCATGCTAAGGTTCTGTTGGGTAAGAAATTACTCAAGCATCAAAATTTGAACACGTATAAGGCAAAGTTGTATTCATTTTATGATCGTACTGTACATGTCAGATGGGGTATTTATAGGGCATCAGTCTTCGTATCTTACATAAAATGACTATTTTACCCCTAACTCAAATATTTACAACCCTTTTCAACTATAAGGGCGAAGTGGTCATTTTACACTACTTCAGTCTTCATCCCTCTATTTGGACATTATTCTTCTAGGAAATTCTACCTTTTGTCTTAGTCGATTTCTGCTCTGTTTTTCTTTGTCTTCGTTAATCAGCGAAGCCAAATCTTTACCCGCTAAGTTAAACTTCTATCTTCTCTTTGGTCTTGACTTCTTCTTTATCTTGAATTCTCCTTCTTCGCGAAGTCAAATCTTTTCATACCAAGTCGAAATGTTGTCTTCGCTTTCCTTTTTCCTGCAAACATATTTCGTTACGGAATCTCAAGAATTTAGCTCCAAAGTTTGGGGCTATGTTTTGTGACGAAGTTAAATTCCCAACAGCAGCCCCTCGCGGATGAAGGCCTACTCCAAAGATCTGAATTCCTCAAAGTTTGAATTTCAAAACGAAGACAGAAAACGTCGTCCCAAACTTTGGAGTTGGCCATTTATATCCGTTAGACTGTGTATAGTCTGTTTTTTTTAATTGCAACGGTCGAATTGGACCGCCAGAATTCAAACCGTTGGGTTTGACCGGAAGCCACCTATATATACTGCGTGCCCTTCCTAGTGTTTTTGTTGCTTCATAGAAGACGGGGAGGTGCTACTAAATTTTTCTTTTAAGCAAAGTAGAATTCTTGCGAAGCCAAGTTCTTTTGCGAAGACTGCTTTTCTCTTGAAAGCTTTTAAAGTTTGATTGGCTAAAGTTAGTTTTTATTTTACTTTGTTTATTTGTATTTAGTTTTCCCCTCCTTCTATTTTATCTTTTGAGATATTTTTTTGTAGATGTCTGAGCAGGAGAAAAATGTTCCTTAGAATTCTCCAGTTGGTTCTAATCAATCTGGATCTGGTGAAGATTTGTCAGATGTCTCCGCGTCAGAGTCAGAATTGGTTGGAGACGACACAAAGACTTTGATTTTTGGTAAAACATTGATGGATGAAGCCGAGTTGGATTGGCTGGTTACAAATAGGATGGCGGAAAAGGCTTTTGTTAGTTTGCCTAAAAATGAAACAACTCCTAAGCCAGAGCCTCATGAGTGTGTTGTTTTTCGGGATCAATTCGCTGCTGGACTTCGCTTACCTTGTCAGGATTTTGTTGAAGAAATTTTGAAGGCGTATAACATTGAGATGCATCATTTGACTCCGAATGGGATAGCTAAAATTGCTCTTTTTATCTGGGCTGTGAAATCTCAAAATGTGAACTTGGATATTGGAGCCTTTTGTACTCCTCATGAGATGCATACTCAGTTTAGGAACAAAACAGTGGATGGTAAAAATATTGTTAAGTACTTTGGTTGATGTGTAGTTTTAAGCCTGCTCGTGGCGCTAAGTAGATTGCATCAGCTTCCAAGAACAAATGGATTGAAAATTGGTATTGATATTGGTTTTATCATTATGTTCCTTTGGTTGAAGAGAAGGATGATTCAAGGAAGATTCTGAAGAAGTATCCTTTGGCCGCGAAGATGACAAAGAATATTTTTGAATGTAAGCTTGAATTTGTTAGTTTGAAGAATTCTAGAACTTGGGAAAAGGCTTATAAGTTGACTGCCAATCTGCAAAGTGCTCATGATCTTTGTGAGGAATATATCGTAGCTCGTGTTTGGACTCTTAAAAAGGCTAGAGATTTGTACATCTTCATAAGAAAGTTGTGAAAGGAAAACATTATTTGTATCCTAATAAAGAGGCTTTTCATCCGAAGAAGTATTCGAAAGATGAAGATTTTGTTTCTGCTGTTGAAGTCAAGGCAGTTGAAATTCTTGGCAAATTTTTGAAGAAGGAGAAAGATTTGATGGACAAAATTCTAGGGAAGGATTATAAACGTTTGAATAGGGTTTTTGAAATTGCTCAAATCACATATAATGAAAGGCCTCCACCAGCGTATTCTCGTACAGCGAAGCCAAGTATAGAGAATGTTACAAAGAAGAAAAGGGTTGGTGATCAACTTACTAAGAAAACTAGCAAAAAGAAGAAGGTTTCAACTTCTTTTTATTCAGAAAGAGTTGTAGAAGATGAAGTTGATTTGGGTGTTGATGCTGACAGTCAAGAAGTTCTTAGTCAGCAAGCTCGCGAAGATGAGGTGAGAATGATTAGTTTAGTTTTAAATTCTAGTGGTTTGACTTCGCTAATGTTGACTCCGCTTGGTGACTATTTCTAGAATTTGGCTTCTGATGAAAATGTTGGTGGAGGTAATTTGTCTTTGGCTCAAAAAAATGTTGGCGAAGACACTTTGCCTTCTTCACCCCTATTGTTGATGCTGCTGCTACTGTTGCTACTGCTACTGCTAAAGTGCAGATTGAAGAAGGTGAGATTGTGGTTAAGGCTTCACAGGAAACTGCAGAGCCGTCTTCTCAAAGATTTGTTGCTAAAACTCCACCAGGAACTGTGGGGGATGTTGGTGCTGTTCTTCATGTTGCCTCACCTCCTCAAATTGTTTTGCAAGATACTGATTTAGGAGGTAGGCCTATGGAGACTGATGCTCCAAGAGTTAAAGCTCACAAGGGTAAGGGTACAACTACCATTACCCTTGATTTTGATGATTCTGATGATGATATCTTTGACGAAGAGGTCGAAAATGCCCATGCTTCTCATCTTTCTGAGTCCCCAATTGATGTAAATACTGGTGAAAAAGTTGCATATCAACTCGAGAAGGGTGTTTCTACGGGTGAGTTTGTTTTGTTTTCTTTGCGCCTATTTTTTTTACTTTTGACTTTGATTATTGACTTACTAACTTTTGACTTGTCTTTTGTGTAGAGAAATTTTTCTCGGACCCTTCGTCTCAAAGAGAGACGACTGTGGATGTTGGGAAAATGAAAGAGGTGGCTTAGGAGCCTGCTACTCCAGTTGAAGCTTTAGAAACTATTCCTAATGGAGTGGACCCAGAGGCATACAAACGTTGTTTGGAGTACCGCCAAGCTCATGGTGTGAATTTAGACACTTTCAAATTTATTGGGATTGGCTTGGACAAACTTCATATTATGTCAAAGAAGCCAGAATTAAAGTTGTCAAGGTGCATTGATGATGCCTTCGCAGTTCCTGACGCAGAGGCTGAACTTGTTGGTAAATCTTCCCTTGAGTTGGCGGACACTAGTGTTACCATGATTTACAAGGTTTGTATGTTTTTGTCTGACTTCGTATGTAAATTTGGCTTAACTTCTTATGTTGATTTACAAGTGTTGCTTTGTATGCTTTTGACTTTGTATATATATATATATGAATGTTTTGATGTTATATTTTGTAGAACGCTCTTTTGCAAAGGAATTTGCGTAAATCTCTTGAAGAAGATGCGAAGAATGCGGCACTTCAAGAGAAAAGTTTGCTTGAAGAGATTAAATCTTTGAAGTCTCAACTTGCTGCTAAAGAGAAAAGAGAATAGAGACAGTTGAAGCTCTCCATGACATGGAGTCAAAATGTATCTCTGTTTGAGCCAAGCTTGAGGCAAAGACTGAAGATTTTGATAATTTGAAAAAGATCATGATAAGATTGTGAAGGAGAAAAATTATCTTGAGAAGAAGTCTATTGAGAAAGATCAAAATTTTCATGATAAGTGCAATCGCCTGTGGGAATTTTGTAAAAATTGCTATGACAAGTTTGGAGCAAACCCAGAAGATCCTTGTTGGGAGCTTGGAGAGTTTGATCCATTTTTTGCTTGGTTGTGTCGTCAGTATGAGGATTTGCCAACTGTTATTCAGACTAGTGCTAATTTGAGTTGTGTTTATGCAACTCGCACACTTTTCCACTTAATGAAAGAGGTAAAAGATCCCTTGTATGAACAAATGTTGGACAAGGATTATAAGTTTCCTTCTATGGAGCAATTGAGTCAGGTAATATTTTAATCAATATTGGAACATGGGTGGTAGGGAGAATGCTTTTCTGAAGGCGAAGAAGAAGATGGAGAAGGTTGGATTAAGAGTTTTACTCTCCCTATTTTTTTTTTTTTTTTGTATTTAGTTTTCTGGGGTTTTTTATACTAAATTTTGTTTTCTTTTTGTAGCAGCAACTTGAGAAAGAAATTGCCGCTGATGAGAAGGTGCAAAGAGAGCAAGACAAACGCGAAGAGAAAAATGACAGGGATGATAATGTTGGTGATCACCCATTTTAGTTATCCTTATAGTTAGTTTTTTAGTTTTAAGCTGAGGGGTGAGGCTTTTGAAAGATGTTTGACATTTGTAAATATTGAACTTAGCAGGATGAAGTTGGTGTATTGCCATTGTTAATGTGTAAGGACAACTTTGTCGTTGATCCTTCGTTGTGGTTGGAGTATGCAACTAATGAGGCGGACCCTATATTTGAAACATTTGTTGAATGTAAGCTGAAGTAAGCGTTAAGTTATGATGCTTTGTTTTTTTGGTCATCTGGTTCTTTTTGCTGATGATATGTTCTATTTCTAGATTTTGAATCTAAAAATCTTATTGCTAAGAACAAGAAATCTTGTTTACCGTGAATTGTTGACTTCAGCAAAATTTCTCAGGTAGTTTGTTTTAACTCTTTTTCTTTTCTTGTGGAATTTAGATGGGATGGAAAGTAATTTGATACTTTGTATTTTTCTCGTCATCATGTTTGAGTGCTTCTCCGAGCTATGTTTCTGAAGATTTTCTACAATGTAAAGTTGATCATATGTTGGATAGGGTTGTTGAAGACTTTATTAGTGAAGCTGCAACTATTGTAGCTTCGGAAAGTGACTGAATGTAACTTTTGTTGTAAACTTCTCTTATTGATATGTAATAAATTATTCAGTTTTATGATGGAATTGAATTTTGCATACTTTTGTATTGATATTTGAATAGACTTCACTTAGAAGTCAAATTTCACCTTAGTGAATTTGAAAAACGTTGTCCCCTAACTTTTTTGCAAAGGCAACACGCAGACTTCGCTTAGAAGTCAAATTTCACCTTAGTGAATTTGAAAAACGTCGTCCCCTCACTTTTTTGTGAAGGCAACGCAGAGACTTCGCTTAGAAGTCAAATTTCACCTTAGTGAATTTGAAAAACGTCGTCCCCTCACTTTTTTACGAAGGCAACGCGTAGACTTCTCTTAGAAGTCAAATCTCAACTTAGTGAATTTGAAAAACGCCGTCCCTTCACTTTGTTGCGAAGGCAACGCGCAGACTTCGCTTAGAAGTCAAATTTCACCTTAGTGAATTTGAAAAACGCCGTCCCTTCACTTTTTTGCGAAGGCAATGCATAGACTTCGCTTAGAAGTCAAATTTCACCTTAGTGAATTTGAAAATGTAAATCCCCTCACTTTTTGCGAAGGCAACGCGTAGACTTCGCTTAGAAGTCAAATTTTACCTTAGTGAATTTGAAAATCGTCGTCCCTTCACTTTTTTGCAAAGGCAACGCGTAGACTTCGCTTAGAAGTCAAATTTCACGTTAGTAAATTTGAAAACACTAAAAAGTAGATACAATATTTGTTTAGATAGGTTAGCATTAATTTTTGCTTGTTCGAAAAATGATGCTACCTATTTTAGTTTATTTTGGCCGATATTTGAGTATATGTAAGTATACTCTTTGACTTTTTAGTTTTTTGCTGTACTTTTAAGACTTAGGGGAATAGTTTCTCATTCATATTTGATGAGAATTTACAATAGAGACTATCTCGTTAAAAAACCACTCACCCTGTGAAGGGCTTTCCCTGAGTGAAAAAAGAGTGCAGCTCATTTATATTTGTATTGAAACTTTGGAATGTAAAAACTAGTCTACTTCTATCATAGAACTTGTAAAAAAATTGGAGTCTAAGGGTAGTATCTCCGTAGAGCCTCAATATTCCAGGTGTGGTCAATTTCTTCTCCATTCATGTTTGCCAAGTGAAATGCTCCCAATTTGTTTGTTCTTGTGATAAGATATGGCCCTTCCCATTTCTGTTGAAACGTTCCAACTGTGTCTTCCTTTCTCTTTCTTTTCAGAATGAAGTTGCCTAGGGATAATTGTCTTGGTCTTACTTTCTTGTTGTACCAATTTTTTGTTTCTTTCTGGTACTTCTTGAGGTTCTGGATTGCTTTCATTCTTTCTTCTTTGAGCAAATCCTTGCTTGTTACTTGCTCTTCTTCTTCAATTATTTGGACGTTTGTTCTTGGGCCTTGAAATTTTATTTCTTCGGGTGTCATTGCTTCTTCTCCGTACAACAACTTGAATGGTGTAAAGTTTGTTGATCTTGATACTATTGTATTGTATGCCCAAACAACTTTTGGTAATTCGTCAACCCATTTTCCCTTAGAAAGCCCCACTAGGCATTTTGAATTTTCAGTGCATATGATTCCATTTGCTCTTTCAACTGCCCCATTTGACTATGGGTGTCTGATTGAGGCAAAGCATAGTTGGATTCCCATGTTTTGACAATAATCTCTGAAATCTTGATTGTCAAATTGAGTCCCATTGTCTACTGTAATGTGTCTTGGAACTCCAAAATGGCATATGATGTTCTGCCATAAAAAAATTCATTGTGAATGAAGACATATTTGTTACTGGCTTGGCTTCAATCCACTTTGCGAAATATTCCACTGCCACAACTGCATATTGGAAATTTCCTTGAGCTGAGGGTAATTTGTCTATTATGTCAATTCCCCATCTTGCAAGTGGCCAAGTTGGTTCTATTGTTTGTAAGTTTGTTGCTAGAGCTCTTATTTTGCTGGCAGACATTTGATAATTGTGACAAGATTTAACTATTTTTTTGCTGTCACTTTGTGCTGAAGGCCAATAAAATCCTTGTCGGAATGCTTTCCCTGCCATGGATCTTGCCCTTGGATGTGTGCCACAAGTCCCATCATGTATTTCTGATAGTAATTTTTTCATTCTTCTGCTGATATGCATTTAAGAAGTGGTTCACAAATTCCTTGCTTGTACAATTGATTGTTGATGATTTTGTAATTTCTTGTTTTATGTTTCATTCTGACTTCATTAACTTCATCTTCTAGTTCATAATGCCCATGAAGGTATGCCATGATTGGTGCTCTCCAATCTTCACTTTGTATTATATGGACTTCTCTTGGGACTTCTTGCTTTGCCTTGATAGATGCATGAGTTAGTACTTGGAAGAAAACATCTTGAGGCAAACTTGTATTTTGAGCTACAGCTTTTGCTATTTGTCAGCATCTGAGTTATCTGTTCTTGAGATATTTTTTATTGTGAAGCCTTCAAAGTATTTCTCATGTTCTCTTAAAAATTGCAAGTATTTTGCTAGCTCTGGATCTCTTGCCTTATAATCTTTTTCGATGTGTCCAACCACAACTTGTGAATCTGCTTTGATTATTAGACTTTGTATCCCTATTGCTCTTGCTTTTCTTAGTCTAAGTAAAACGGCTTCGTATTCAGCAATATTGTTGGTACATTGAAATTCAAGCCTTGCAGCGTATGCCCCTACGAAGCCCCATGCTCCATCGCAATATATTATCCAGTCTGGATGCTTTTTGTCTTTGCTTTGATTTTGAGACGGAGTCCAATCTGCCACAAAGTCTGCTAAGACTTGAGATTTTATTAATTTTATTTTTTCAAATTTGATGTAATGTTGAGATAGCTCTGCTGCCCATTTCCCCAATCTTCCAAATGATCTGCAACTTTGCAAGACTTCTTTTAGAGGATAATTTGTTGGTACTCTGATTTTGTGAGCCTAAAAATAGTGTTTCAATTTTCTTACTGTTGTCAAAACTGCATATGCTATTTTTTCAATCTCTGAGTAATAGATTTTTGAGCCAGACAGAGCTTCTGAAACAAAGTATACTGGGACTTGTCTTTTTGTGTGTTCATTTTCCTGTTCTTCAACTAAAACTACACTTACTGCACTTTCTGTTGCTGAGACATATAGGAGCAATTCGGCCCCTGGGGTTGGTGTGGTTAGTGTGTTTGGCTTTGACAAGTAACTTTTTATTTCTTCGAATTCATGTTGTTACGAAGGTCCCCATGTGAAGTCTCTTTTTGTTCCTTTGAGTGCTTGAAATATCGGCAGACTTCGCTTTGCTGATTTTGAAATGAACCTGTTTAAGGCGGCAAGTCTTCCTATTAATTTTTGGACGTCCTTTATATTTTCAGGAACTTTCATATTTAGGATTGCCTAGACTTTGTCGGGGTTTGGATCGATTCCATTTGCTGATACAATGCAGCCTAGAATTTTGCCCTTTTGGACTCCGAAGGTGCATTTTTTAGGATTTAACTTCAAATTGTCATTCCTCAGATTTGTAAATGTTTCTTAGAGATCTTAAATGTGGTCTCCTCTTTTCTGGCTTTTAACTACTATGTCATCAACATAGGTGAGTAGATTTTTGCCAATTTATTTGTGTAGCACTGTTAAAGTTATTCTAACAAATGTTGTGTCAGCATTGCGAAGCCCCTCTGCCATTCTTACAAAATACAAGGTCCCGAATGGGGTGATAAAACTTGTGAATTCTTCATCTTCTTTTCTCATCCAAATTTGATGATAGCTAGAAAAACAATCCAAGAAACATAGCATTTCACTTCCGGCTGCTTGATCGACTAATGTGTCAATTCTTGGTAGTGGGAAATTATTTTTTGGGCACGCTTTATTGAGATATGTGAAATCAATGCACATTCATCATTTTCCATTCTTCTTCTTGACCATGACAATGTTTGCTAGCCAAGTTATGAATTGAAGTTCTCTTATAACTTTTGCATCAAGCAATCTTTGAACTTTAGCTTTGGCAGCCTGAACTCTATCTTCGCCTAGTTTTCTCAACTTTTGCTTTTTTGGTCTAACTTTTGGATCGATGTCTAGTTTGTGTTCAATTATGTCTCTGCTGACTCCTCCTTGATCATTGAATGACCAAGCGAATATATCTTTGTTGCTTCGAAGAAATTCCACAAGTTTGTCCTCTTCTTGAGAAAGTCCAGTACCAATGATGACTTATTTGTCTGGGACTAATGGATCAAGAGGTACTCTTTTTGTTTCTTCACAAGCTTGAGCTTTGGTTTGAGGCTTCACATTTTCTGTTTCTTCTTTTTCTTCTTCTTCAATGATTGCATGAACATTCTTTTGTCCTGGAGTGTATTCTTTTTCAATGTTTGTTGCCTCAGTTTGGTCTCCATGTACTGTGATTACTCCATTTATTGTTGGCATTTTCATACAAAAGTATGAGTAACTTATGACTGCTTCGAATACATTTAAAGTTCCTGTTTACACCAAAATTTGGGAAGAAGAACGTGGGAACTCGAAGCTTCCAAGATTGTATCATCAAGGAATCGATTGCATAAGGGTCGATATCAGCTGATTCAAATGCGGCACTGGAATTGGCTCTCTTCAGATGACATCAACAGATAATGACAATAAGCTATGGTTGGCGTTGGGAAAGACATGTTGGACTCTACAAAAATGGAAAGATTAAGGTCCAAGTTATCTTAAATTAGAAATGTTTTCTCTTATACCAAAGATTGTAATAAGTCATACTTGAGTAGGATTCATGCTTAGGTTCTGGGTATAAATATTAGACCCCGGCTA